ATCAAATTGTTGCAAATACTCTCTCGGTCTCTCTCTACACCCCAAAACACTAAAAGGACTTGCAGACATTGCAAGGACTTTCGATTCCATTTCCTTCTTTGTTTGGTCAAATTTCATGCATTTTATATTTTATATTTTTATTATTTTTCTCTGCTGCTGCCATCATTTCCCTCCTCCCTCCTCCTAAATTTCTGGGAAGTTTCATTATCCGGATGTGATAATGGGTAAGATGGTAGGTAGTTACAGGACAACCATAGGCTGTACTGATGTGCAGTGCAGGTGAACCCCTCTAATGGGGTTGTTGCTAGTTTAGGATTTAGGTCACGTCAATATCTTATATTAATTTTTTATAGAAAGAGAAAGACAAAATAAAGAATGTGAGAGGTTGAGAGAGAATCCTAGTCCTTGAGCCAATTACTTGGTGCAGTTTTCATATGGAAGCCTATAAGCTATGCTCCTCTACTCTGTGTCATAAGGGACCCGTCTCTGCAATTGCATTCCACCATCTTATGGTGAAATCTAGAAAAGAGAAGAAAATTAAGCTTTGAGACTTAAGGAAACTTGAGGATGAACCACTCCAATACAATTTACTGTCATTAATAGAGTTAAAAATAAAATGGGTGTAAAGATAAATTTACATATTGAATTGAGTTTATGAGGGCATCTAAGGTAGTAAATTTGGGTTTCAAGAGATAATAATAGTTTAGTTAAAAATCAAATGGGTGGAAAGAGTACGTTAGGTGTAGAAAGAGGTTAGATGAATTCAAATAAAATTAGGTAAATTACATAAAACTACCTCAATTATTGGGTCATTAATAGTTTCATACCCCATCTTTAAAAAATTCCAATGTCATACCTTATCTTCGAATTTGTTGCAATGTCATACCTTCTGTCAGTTGTCTGTCAATTCCTATGTTAAATGATGACATGGTTTTGAGACGGGCCCACTTTCTATTAAAAAATTATTAAAATATTAATTTACCCTTAAAAAAAATCATCATCTTCCCCGACCCCATCCCGTCTTCCCCAAACCCACCGCACACCCATCCTACACCTCCTCATCCGCACCCACCCTCGCACCCACCCTGCAACCCATCTTCCCCTACCCCTTTCCTTGCAACTCAGATCCTCTCCGGATTATTTCCGTGGGGGATCCTTCTAACGGATTAATCTCATTCGTTGATACTAATTCAACGATCAAATGAGTTTCGCGTCTTTTCTCTCCTTCCGTTACTCTCTACTTCCCTTGCTCTCTTCCCTTCAGCTCCTCTTTCTCCCTCAATTTGAAGCACTCGACCCCGTGCCACCATGTTACAAACTGGATTTGAACCAGCAACCCAAACTTCCCCAAAAAACTTCCATTTTTATTCTGATCGTGACTATGGTCTTTCCCAAACCCACCGCGCACCCATCCTCCACCTCCTCCTCCGCACCTACCCTCACACCCACCCTGCAACCCATCTTCCCCGACCCCCCTTCCTTGCAACTCAGATCCTCTCCGGATTATTTCCATAGGGATCCTTCTAACGGATTAATCTCATCCGTTGATACTAATTCAACGGCCAAATGAGTTTCGCGTCTTTTCTCTCTTTCCGCTACTCTTTACTTCCCTTGCTCTTTTCCCCTAAGCTCTTATTTCTCCCTCAATTTGAAGCACCCAACCCCCCACCACCATGTTACGAACTGGATTTGAACCAACAACCCAGACTTCCCCAGAAAACTTCAATTTTTATTATGATTGTGACTATGGTTTTTCACCAAGTGTTGGATCCTTATACTAGTCCTTAAAGAAATAGCCATTTTAGCCAATTCTAAAACTAATCTTCAATAGATGCATAAATACTTCAAAATCTTTTTCTAGACATCCACCTTCCCACTGTGGTTTTGGATTTGGGTTGCAGGGAAGGGAAGGTCGAAGAAGATGGGTTGCAGAGTGGGTGCGCGGTGGGTTTGGGGAAGACAGGAGGGGGGTTGCAAGGAAGGGAGGTCGAGGAAGATGATGATTTGGGTATTTTTCTTTTTAGGGTAAATTATTATTTTAATAATATTATATTAATTTTTTAATAGAAAATGAACCTCGTCTTAAGCCACGTCAGCATTTAACAAAATAATTAAAAGACAACTAACGGAATGTATAACATTACAACAAATTCGAAAATAATGTATGATATTAAAACTTTTTAAAAACAAGATATGAAACTATTAATGACTTAATCGTTGAAGTAATTTTATGTAATTTACCTAATAAAATTTTTCTTAAGAATATCGTTGATATTTTCCGAGAACCTTCTTTTTTCTCGCATTCCAATTTCCACCACGACGCCACCACACAACTGACCTCGTCTCTCTCTCTCTCTCTCTCTCTCCGTGAAGCCACTACCAAACCCTAACCACCCCCGAAGCCTAAATCCTCCTCCTCTTCCCAATCTCTCTATCTCTCTCTCCTCTCTTTCCGCGATGGCGCATCAAATGTCCCCTTCCGATCACGACCCCAACTCCGACTCGTCCAAGGCCCGCCTCTACAACCCCTACCAGGATCTCCAGGTTCCCATGCGAAACCTCTACCAGCTACCTACCTCCCCGGAGTTCCTCTTCGTCGAAGAGGCTAAACGTCAGCGTCGCTCCTGGGGCGAGAATCTCACCTTCTACACCGGTTGCTCCTACCTCGCCGGCGCAGTTGGAGGCGGCGCCGCCGGTCTCTTTTCCGGCGTACGATCGTTCGAGTCTGGAGACACCACCAAGCTCAGGATCAATAGGGTTCTCAACTCCTCTGGCCACACGGGTCGGGCTTGGGGGAACCGGCTGGGCGTGATCGGGTTGATCTATGCGGGTATGGAGAGTGGGATTCAGGCGGTCAGAGACACTGACGATGTTTGGAATAGCGTTGCGGCTGGACTGGGAACTGGTGCGATTTACCGAGCTGCGAGGGGCGTGAGGTCGGCTGCGGTGGCTGGAGCTATTGGAGGAGTCCTGGTTGGCGTGGCAGTCACGGCGAAGCAGGCGGCCAAGCGATATGTGCCAATATAATCAGGGAGGCCTGGTTGTGATGTGAGTGGTGGTATTGTTGGCTCTTTTTTTTTTTTTTTTTTTTTTTTTTTTTGTCTGTTTGGTTAGTTTTCGGCAATTTTGATAGTCCCATTAGGAATCGGAGACGATGATAAAGTGAAAATATGTGGGCAATGCATGATGAAGATGGTGTTGCTGTGTTTGGTAATTTTAAATGGAATTGATTATTGATGAACAAGTAGTTGAGCACGGGAGTTTCCATGCTTTTATACGAGTTTTCATGTTAAGAATTCTATTGTAATTTGTCGACTTGTCCTGATAATGAATAATTTGGATGCATTTAGACTTCTGGGTATTCATTGTATATCAATAATTCTTCAAATTTGCAGTCCTTAATATTTTAAACATGTGGTTTGCAATGTTTGTTGGAGTCATGGAATTGTTTTCATTTGATGTTATTATCTTTTGTATCAAGAGGTAGTTTGTTCTCTGTTTCATTGTTAGCGTGTGAACTTCTGACTTTAACATTGTCTAGGGATATATGTGAGTTGAGAACACATTACTAATGGGGGTTTTATAGAGGTTGGTTCTCTTTTGTTTGATGATTGTTCGATACTTCTTTACTTTATGTGGAAATTGATGCTAAATTGAGAGAGGGTGTGTGCTATGATTGCTGTCATTGGCATTTTTGCATTGTAGAATGTTTCGTTATGAGGTTGCAGACGCATGAAGGTCTGGTGTTAGGCACTTTTAGGGTAGAAATTCGAGTAATACTTGATGAGTGATGCAAGGGAATCTATATTTTGAGGATGTTTAGCAAGTTAATATAATTTGATTGGGAATATAATGTTTTGTGTGGTTTTATGTTGATGGTAGATTACATACTTATTGAAACAGAAATTGGGTTTGGTCTAGAAATTATGAAAATGCATGCAAGTCTTTACCAAGTTGCTTCAAAACAACAGTTTTTTATGAACTACTTGGATTAACTCGAGCACAATGGCGTAAGTGATGATGCTAGAATTGTGTGTTATGGAATTGTCATATGCTGTTGATGTTCTTTGTGTAGTCTTGTATCTTGCCTCTGCATTGTATTTGGATCCGGTTGAGCAAAAACGCATTAACTTTTTGAGATAAACACCCATGTAACAATTTTGTAAACCCTTCTCTATCTCTCTCATCACTTGATATGAGAGAGACAAGCGTACATGGGATTTGCAATTTTTTTCCCAACTTTTTGTCACTTGGAATCCTGTCATTGCTTCCCAGGAGACCCGTGATTGTTTTACGAGCTTCTAGGTGGGGTTAGTAGTTATGAATGTGAAAGAAAGCTTTAAACGTCAAGGGGTACTAAAAATGGAGTTCCAATTTGAATGTCTTGGAGCCTTAATGATGCTTTATTCTTATATATTGGTTTCAAAGGTACTGGTGAACACAATCTTGATGACTAATAGATTTCCTTGTTGGTGAATTTCTTGAAGTTACACTTTCACATTCTAAACATAACAATCACAGCGGCCGTCGCGTAATGGACATGGCAGGGCACGGCACGAAGGCATGGGTGCCATCCATTTTGGTTATCCTGTTTGAGGTACAGAAGAATGCACAACGGGAGGTGATCCCCAAAGTTGTCATCCTTAAAGCACATTTGCGAGTTGCTCCATTATATATGGTCCCTACTAACCATCCTCATCTCCATTAACCTAGAGGTGATGTATACTTCACAGTCCACGTGTCATTATATAAGTTGAAGGAAATGATACATTTTTCAGTATCCATCCTCTTTTCTATGACACGTTAGGTACCTGCTTGAATACCAGGCTAGTGAAACATTTTCTCTAATTTTCATGCAAAATCAATAAGAACCATTCATATAAACTATCCTTACCGATCAAATATCATTTAGTACTGCGGTCTATTGTCGCTAGTATTGTGATGATCTAGTATTCAATCTTAGTACAGAATGATAAGGTACTTTGAATGAATAAAAAGAGTAGCAGAACAAAAGCACACGTAAAACTTGCAAATATTCACAATAATCTGAGGAAAAACAAAACAAATGGGTTAAACTCAAATTTCTTATTACATACAGCGGGCAATTACCGCTCTATATGGGCAAAATTTCGTCCAAAATCTGATGCCTGAATCATCGAAACCCTTTTATTTCAAAAGCTATGCAAATCTGAATTAATGAACACTACAAAATGATTTCCTCAGTTATACAAATACAATCATCCGAAGCCCAGCTCAAAAGATTGGGAACAACACCTGGGATGTCATCATTCAAGCCAAAAGCCCCCATTGTCTTGACTAATCACACAAGGGAAAACGATGAAAAAATCCGTCTACTTAGAGCAGCATTGACTCGGGGTTCTCAATGTAGCCTTTGAACGCCTTCAGCCATTCCGCACCAATTGCACCTATACAAGGGAAAGTGGCGTTATTAAGTTGTTATAATGTTTCAGATACGTATACAAGGTAGTTTTAATGATTTCAGATTCAGTTCCGAAAAGAAATTAGAGATGGACATACCATCGATAACACGATGATCACAGCTTAGTGTTACAGACATGTAGGAAGCAAACTTGTATAGCTCGGGCCCAGAACTAGGTACAACCCTCTTCTCAGCTGCTCAGAAGAAAACGCAGAATAAACATAAAGACAACTTTGGTCCAAAGAAGACATGATTAAGTCCCGATATTACCTGATCCAACCGCAAGAATGCCTGATTGAGGAGGGTTAATAATGGCACAGAATTGTTTGATGCCGAATGGACCTCCCAAATTGGTCACGGTAAATGTGCCTCCCTGTGCAGAGAATAAACCAAAGTTTGATCAAAACCACAAAGCTATCATATACCTGCAGTGCACACAATATAGGACAATTTTATCAACCTCATAATCTTCTGGCTTTAAGCTGTTTTCTTTGGCCTTTTGGGCCAGCTGCCTGACCTCCTCAGCTATGCTGGATAGTCCCTTCTTGTTCGCATCCTACAAAATTTAACAACGTAGACTCAGGCAAATTGCTGTTATAACTAATTCAGCAAAATAGGACCAAGCTAATCACTCACCCTAATGACGGGTACAAAGAGTCCATTTTCTGTCTGTACCGCAACATTAATGTTCACGTTGTGAAACCTGAGAATAGCAACCGTAAAGTAAGTATTAATTCAAGTGGAATATGGAAACTTAATTAGTAATGTTTGTATCTAAACTCACTGGCGGATGTAATCATCTGTCCATGAACTATTGCATTGAGGAACCTTTTGAAGAGCCAAAGCAGCAGCCTGCAATAATAGTTACATTGGAGCACTGTTCTAAAAATCCATGCCTAGACGCTAGGCGGTTGGCCACAACCCCGATTAATGCCTAGGCGTTTGAAAATTAAGAAAGGGCACCTAGACCTACTGAGGGGCCCGCCTAGACCGCCTAGCCCACCCAGACCTGCCTAGACACCTGCATAGATTGCGACTCACTTTGACAAAAAATAGCTGACTTTCATTTTACATTTTACTTTTTCAATAAATTGTAAAAGACTTGTTGAATACTTAAAGGAACACACATTATATACTTGTTCTCCATGTTTTCATTGTGTTCCAATATCTCATAATATATATGTCATTCAATTTTGTAGTTTATGATGAAATCATATATATTTTAAATATAAACACACTTATTTACATGAAATATAATAGATTTAATTAAATCAGCCTAGGCACCCGCCTAGACCCCGCCTAGCTGCTAAGGCCCAGCCTGTCGCCCGACTAGCACCTAGCGTCTTTTAGAACCTTGCATTGGAGTGAATCCACAATCGGAAAGGTACCATATACCTCCAGTATACTTGATTTTTATTTTCTCTTACATGAACTCATAACCTAACTGGGTTCTAGTTATCTCTAGAACTCAGTCTCCCCCTTGAGACACCTTTTTGATAGACTAGAGGTCATTCTGATAATAGTTAGATTTCATTTCATAACTCTCGAGATCACAAGAACCCGTTATCTCATTCTACACTTGAGCACCTCACAAATTCCATTGGTCTTACCATGGGGGGAAACTTGTACCATAATTGGCTAATAAAAAGATTCAGTGAAGAAATCTTGTACCTTAATTACGAGATCATTAACAGATATCCGCTTCCCACCTGATGCCTCTTGTAGTGCATTGAGTTGGCCTCTCAAACTGCAGATAAAACAAGAGTTAAACATATCCAAGAGTTATGCAGTTAGTTTAATTTTTAAAATGTTCAAGAAACTTATACTCACTCCATGAGTCTATCAACACATGTATCTACTGTCAAATAATAATGAGGAATTGTTTGCTTTGAGAATAATAATCTCGAAGCTGTGATCTGCAAAAATCATACCAGATATAGCTTTAGAAAGAATAAAGTTAAGTTCAGAACAGAGATTAAACAATTAATAGATGAAAAGTACTTGTAAAGTGTAAGTGAAGCAAACCAAGGAAACATCTTCAAATTTTTCAAAGACAGTACTTCAGGTGCACCAAAAATAAGAATAGTTGTGGGGACTGAATTGCTACAATCATTACTTCTAATATTACCTTCCGTATCTGAGAATGGGGGATATCGGTGTAATCCAACGCTGCAGGTACTGCACCCTTAGCTTTAGGGGCTTCCTTCCCACGAGAAGCTACATAATCATGAGAAAACAAAAGCAAAAGATCAAACACAATTTATAATCATCAGGTGGATTAGCTTTTTTTTTTTTCAACCAGAAGAAAATTATGGTAGACAAAGGTTCAAGATGAAATGAACAAAATGTAAACAATAAAATAGCAAAGAGTAACAAAAGTATACCCAAATACTCTTCAACATCAGCCTTCACAATGCTTCCATCAGGACCTGTTCCTTTGATACTTGAGAGGGGAACCTAGAAAACACAGAAGTCAGAAATGGCGCATGATTTGTTTCCTACCATTAAATGATAATAATTCAGCCACAGAATTCTGCATGGCATACCTTGTGCTCTTCGGCCAAACTTCTTGCCAGAGGACTTGCAAATATGCGATCTCCAGAAGGGGAAGCAACAGGAGCTGCACTGGGCTTTGATACCTTTGGCTCTGGGGAAGTAACTGGTTCTGCAACCACCTCTTTTTTGGGCGGAGTAGGCTCAGATGACTCTTTAGCTGCAGAAGCACTGGCACCAGATGCCGATGGTGTGTAATCTTTAAATTTTGCAATATCATCCTCCTCTTCAACGGTAATTGCAATCACCTATGTGCCAACCCATTAACCATTAGAAAGTGCTCATATCATGCCAAGATGTTTCTTTCTATTCAATCTAATTTATCCCCATAATTAATCAGTTGAACATCACCAAGCACAAGTAAAAGAAAGATGAAATATAAATCTACCCAGGCCCCATAAAAGTTAACTACAATCAATACCTCTCCAACTTTGATCCCTTGGGTCCCATCTGGTCGTACAATCTTGGCAAGATAACCATCTTCCATGCATTCCATCTCCACTGTAGCTTTATCCTTAACAGGTAATTGGATATGAGGTACACGTCAGGCTTCCATCATAAAAAGAAGCACATAAACTGACAATATGTACATTTTACTCAATCAACAAAGCCATAGGTAAGTGGATTTAAAGTACAGAAAACTTACAGTTTCAACTTCACAAAGAACTTCACCAGGAGAAACTTTGTCACCCTCTTTCTTCAGCCACCTAGCAATATTACCCTACACATCATAAAACAATGACTTAGAAAGGAGCAGTAAAATTTCAAAGGTATGATAGTCCAATAAGCCTCAAAACAGTAAATACCTCAGACATAGTGGGTGAAAGAGAAGGCATTCCAATTTCTTGGTGTGGAGGAAGGCCTGAAGGGCAGCACATGATTCTTGATAAGTTAGATGATCATATAACTCAAGGTAACATTTTTGAGGATTGCCTAACCAACAAAAGAGTGCAAAATGAAAGACTATCACACTTTGCAAAGGGATGCAAAGCACTTCAATGCCCAAAACTAGTGAAATAAAACATTCACAATAAATCATAGTTTCAAATTAAGTTAACTATCTCTCTATGAATTAAAGTAGCAGAGATCAAGAAAATGTACTACATAAAATCAGTATTCGAAGAGTAATGGCCAGTGACCACCCTCAATCTTAAAAATATCCAAATAGAGTTATGAAATGAAAAAAATAACCGAAATAACAAAGCCACAGTCATTGATGACAATACTACACTTTCAATTTCCAGCATGGACAAGCCTGAGAAATCTATGAACAAATAGTTAAGTTCTTATAGCTCTATGCTAGAAACTTGTATCTTGAAGCAGCTGTTATAGTGACATTTAGTCCATCATCATACTAGCCTACTAGAAGATACAAAAGGCAATGTGCACTCAAGGACACAAAAATACATAAAGAAATTTGAGAGATCCAAAACAGCAAGAGGCGTACCAGCATCAGATGAAAAGCCTCTGCTCAATTGCACCTGCATACTGATATAGGGAAAAATATATGTATCAAAACAGATTTTTCCACGCACACGCACGCGCACACAGAGTAACAAAATCTAGCACAGCATACCATGAAAGCCGTTTGTTGAATCCTGATTCAGAAACTGAACTTCCTAGTTTCCTTGTCATTGAGATATCCCTGGTAAATGTACCAGACACTGATTTCTGCAAAAGATGATACGTCATAGTGTTATAACTGATACAAAGTTCACTTGTAAAAAATTATTTCTAAGTGTGTGTGACAAGATAAAAAAATAAAAATAAAAAAGGCCAGAAGCAAAGATATACCACTAAAAACTTTGAACAGAAATACTCCAAAGATGGCACATTTTTAATATTTAACTAGTTTAACTTACAGTGCTACTGCTGAAAGACCTAGAACCTCTTGCTCTTTCTGAAGGCACACAACTGGGGCGACGAGCCTTCAGGATATCTGAGATAAAAATTGAACTCGCTTAAAGTCGGCAAAACAAAATTTCAGACGCATTTATGTGCATAATTAAAAATCCAAGTGGCTAGTTGCATTCAAATGATGCCACACACATTGTACAACAAGAAAACTTTAACATGTGATTCATAGTTAAATCATCAAATTTCTTAATTCATATAGTATCTGTTAATGTATGAAGAATGATAAGGAAAGCACAAATAGTTGTCAAACAAATACACATTCATCCACACCCACACACTCATTCTTGATAGAACTATATGCAATTAAGTCATCGGGTCAGCAAGTTTTCAATTTTACATTAAAAACCAACGTAAATAAATAACAAAAAAGACCAGCTTTATTTACCAGTAGAGGGTTGAGCATCATGTGAAAACCAACGAACCAAGAGTGCTTGCTCTTGCCGTACTAAGTTGGGGGCATTCTGTAACTGCAGTGAACACGAAATGTAGTACAAAATTAAGTTTTAAAAGAAACTTCGTGATAACAGAGAGCCATCAGCTTCGTAGATTAATACTTGAAATATATCTAAATCAATGATATAAAGCACCCAAAAATAAAAAGGAAACAAAACAAATGGGCCATGTAAGCTTCCAATCACCATTTGGTCATGGGATCATGGTACCTTTAAACCGAATTCAAAAACTTATGTCAAAATATACACCGAAAAACTATATTCCATAAAGCACGATCCTCTGCCTACAATTTTGATACTAGTGAAATTCAAAGTAAAAACACCCTGGACATAGTATCCTAAATTACCCAATTGAGGATTAAGTCTGAAATTTACACTACCTCCATTTATATGCTCACACACCTACTTGCTACCAAACTCGGAGTAACCCGAAAATGAATGAAATGCTAATGTGAAGTATAAACATATTCCTCCAATCACTACCCAGTTATAGAATATAAATCTTCAAGTGAATACGAAATCCAATACAAAACAAGATTCAAGATTTGTGGAATTCAAACAGTGAAACAAGTGCTTGGAAACAAACCCATTAACCAAACAAGCTACAAACCCGGAAAATCAATGCCTAAACAAAATTCACGAGAGATAGGAAAAATGGTGAAAACTGAGGCGCACCCTTTTCGAATGGTGGATGATACGAGATGCGTAAGTCATATTTCTCCGGTATCAAACCGATCAAACAAACAGTGCCCAAGAAACCAGCGAACCCAAAAAAACTCGAAAAAAATTGGAAATTTATGGGATTGCGACGATTGCCACGGAAGAGGAACCCAATGAGTTTATTGCAAATTGTGTGTATATAAATATAAATATTTGTGTAATGAGTGAAAAACGATTGTGCGATCGAGGGAGAGGGTGAAAGAAAATGGAGGAGGAGGAGAGGTAAAGGGGAAGAGTTTGGGCTGGGCTTTTTGGATTGTTTGGTTGACAGAGGTGGGTAGGCGCCCGCCTTTCTGGAATTACCTAACCCTTTGAGCTCAAGTCAGTAGACTCAAGGTTGGTTTGGTATTGTTGTATTTTGAAAAAAATTGTTTCTGCTGTGCTATGAAAATAAGTTCATTTTTACTGCTTCATATTTTTATTTTTTTTCACTTAAAACTGTGAAAATAAGTTGTTTTTAAGTGTTTACCAAACATATTTTTAAACTCAATTTTCTTTTATATTCACTTTTTATAAAAATACCAAGTACCAAAACAGCACTCAGAAGTGCCTCAGATCTGAGTAGGTGCGTGTTTGTTAGCTGTCTGCTGCATAATATATTGTGCCCAAATGATACTATTTTATTGCGGCCGAAATTACAAAAAGGAATAAACGTGGAGCTTTCATTGTTATTTATAACCAGCGAATCTGTTTAAGGATATCTATGAAACAAGTCACGGGACGTATTAATTTACGTATTATAATAGAAATGAACGATATAATTGATGTGTTTGATTTTAGGTATAATAGTTAAAATAAATGTGTTATAATTTAAGAGAGATAGTAACATTACATGACTGTTATGAAAAATCAATCATAACAAAGAAGTTTAAGTTCAATTGCGACGAATAATAAGTTTGATACCTAATAGTTTGGTCGTTCTATTAGGTATTAGATTTATTTATTTATTTATTTGTAATATTAGGTATCAGATTATGAGAATTAAACTGGCATAAGTCGGTTGCCAAAAAAGCCACTTTTATGGAAGGAAGGAATATATAAAAACTCTCAATTAGTTACTAGTCATACTAGGGGTGGGCAAACGGGTAGAGGAACCGCGAGTCGGGGCGGGTAATGTAGGTTCGGGGTGGGTACGGGCCGGTTCCAAATATTTTAGAAACTAAACGGGGCGGGCCGGGCTGGGCCATTGTCATTTACGGGGCGGGCCGAGTCCTACATCCTAGAAAAACGGGGCCCCGGATTGACCCGTTTCTATTTATAATGAACGGTTAAGATTGAATGATAATCTATCATTCAATCTAAACCGTTAGTTTCAACCCTACCCTTACCGAGTCTAGTCCGGGTTTCCATTTTCCAGATTCATAATTTCAGATCAGTCTCTCGACTCTCTCACAGTCACTCACTCCCACCTCTCCTCCACCATCCGTCAGTCCATAACCCTCGACTCCGAGTCCGACGCCGCACCAACACAACGGCAGAACCTGGATTCTCTCCTCTTCGAATTCGCACTCTCTCTTTCTCTCGTCACAGACTCGCAGCGTCTTCGTTCTAAGGTAAAAACCCTAACAAACAATTCGATCTCGCTTCTCTCTTTTATTTTATTCGTATTATGGGTTTGTGGACTGAGTGATTCGTATCTGAGTTTCAAGTTTTCAACCCTACCCTTACCGAGTCCAGGTTTCCATTTTCCAGATTCAGATCAGTCTCTCACAGTCAGTCACACAATGGCAGAACCTCGAATCCGTATCCCTCGACTCCGACGCTGCACCAACACAACGGCAGAACCTCAAATCTCTCCTCTTCGAATTCGCACTCTCTCTCTCTCTCGTCGCAACCTCTTCGTTCTCAGGTAAAAACCCTAACAAACAATCTCGCTTCTCTCTTTTATTTGATTCGTATTATTGGTTTGTGGACTGAGTGATTCGTATCTAAGTAAAAACCCTAGGCAACTATTTGAATCCTGTTATTGACTCTCAAATATTCTGTAAAATGTAAATATGTGATAATTGTTCTGTAAATATTGGTATTTGGAAGTGTTAAATGAAAGTTGAAATGCATAGGTGCCTTAGATTTTTGTATTATTATTCTGTAAATATGTGATAGAAAAACCAGACTTTCGAATTTCAATATGCAGCTGGCTTTGTCCTGCTTGCCAGGAAACCCCATGGCCACTGTTCTGACTTTCTGATCAATTTAGGTAGACTTGTGTAATGCAAATCCTTTGCATGGTACCTCTTTTGGATTCTTTTTTTTGTTGAGCTGCTATTTGATTTCGTTGCTAGAGACATATGTGTAGTGAATATTTGAGACAGAATACTTGAAGCTAGACCGAATAATTAATTTCAGAAATAGTGTGCAGTGAATGCTAATGTAGGTTACCCATGAATCATAGCAAGGCAATTAGGAATAGTTTGATGTTGGACGTTAAACTCAAATGAATAAACTTTAAATTTCAATGATTCAATGAGAATAGTTTGATGTTGGACGTTAAAAATGTCATGTTTATATACTATTTTTCCTTACAGATTCAATGAGGAATGTTGTTGGAACGTGGACGTTGGATGTGGTATGATTTTTGTATGTTGATTTGATTTTTAGATGTTGGACGATGTAATGTTGTTATTTTGGATGTATTGTTAATCTATGAATTTGGACGATGTGTTGTTCTTTTGTTTTTTTGGACTCTCGGAATTTGGATGTGTTGTTATTTTGGACGTTGGTAGTGCCGTGGTAGAATCATAGAAAGAATCTGTGCAATTGCAGCAATCTGGGCAAATGCAATCTGTGCAAAACTGCAGATTGCAGCAATCTGTGCAAATTGCAACAATCTGTGCAATTGCATTCTGTGCAATTTTTTTTTTAATAACCCAAAGAAAAAAAAAAAAAAACCAAGGACCCGTGGACCCGGCCCGTTTCAACCGGGCCGGGTAAGGTCCAGTTCCTATATTCAAAACTGTAATGCCCAGCCCGGCCCGGCCCGTTTCCTTTGCACCCGGGTCCGGTCCGGTCCCTCCAAAAATGGGCCCGGCCCGGCCCGTGCCCACCCCTAAGTCATACTCTAACACAAATCTTTAAAAGTAAGAGCCAAAAGGATTCAGGCTGTCTTGAAAGCATATGTTTTTATGTTAGAACAAACATATGTTAGGAGGCTTGCCAACATAATGTTTTTACTGGCCTTCATTAACGCGCTCACGCGTATGCAGAACAGGGTCGGTCCTGAGATTTTTGAGGCTCAGGACAACGTAAAAAAATATACCCTAACTCCATATAATAAAAATTATTTGTTTTTACAGGTTGAACTTCGATAAAATAACACTTAGACAAGCACACCAAATTTAATAATTTAGAAGGAGTAATGTTAAGAAGACTAAATTTGTGGACAAAATATGGTAAACTAAATGACATGGAAGTTGATGATTGGATTATTATTTAAGGATTGATTAACGTGCTTATTTCTATTGATGACACAACATTTGGTTTGAGAGAAGGGAACCAAAAAACCTGGGCTTACAAGTAAATGTTTCCCCTCGAAATTTTGGAGTGCTTTTATATAAAACTGTGAGATGTTTTTTCTTATTTACTTACTTTGTCAATATGTGACTAAAAAAATATATCATTTTTGAGTTTTTAATTGAAATGTATAAGCAATGCATGAGAGAATTAAAGATAATTAAAATTCTGAGTCCCACCACCTATCTTTGTTCTTCCTCAAACTTTAAATTTTATCTCTTTCACTTCCTCCACGGGTCGCAACAGCTATGTCTCTCAACATAGAATCTCTCATCATCGTTCACATTTTAACCCCTAAATCTTGTAGAACTAATGACATTTTTTTCGTAATTTTTTCTGAAATTCGTTAACTAGGTAAATTCATCAAAATCCTTCTCCAATTCTACCTCTTCCTCCCTATGCCTTTGCAATTTTCTCTGACCTACAACCATATGTAATTGTTATTGTAAAATTATTTTTTCAAGAATTATATTTCTTTATAAATAAAATAAGAGAAATTGAGAGGCATGGCTTATGACTGCTGCCTAGGGAAGTTAAAAGAAATGACAAAAGGGTTGAGGAAGAACATTAATAGATGTTGGGCACCATATTTCTAATTTATTGTTTTATTAAAATACATCCCGGTGTTGGGCACCATATTTCTAATTTATTGTTTTAACTTATTTGTATTTTAGTTTGTTGTGCAAATTACATCCCGATGTTAAATGGTGAGGGGAAAGGCATGAAAGGAAAAGCATAACGTGCCTCGCCTTGATCCCAAATAGAATATCGTAAAAAATTGGAAAAAAAAATGAACTCATTGGGTTTCGAACACAACACTGTCCTATTAAGTAAGCAGCGAAACACCACCGCTCCTGCCTAAAGTTCTTGTTGATTTAACCAAGGTTTCAAAATTTATAGGCTTATGGAAATATATGCAAAAATACTACCCTATCAATTTTGGTGCCCCTCGAGTTTTTGGGCCCTAGACGGTCGCACTGCTAGCCCTGGGCCAGGGCTGGCCCTGACGCAAAAGACATTTTTTGAATATGGCATGCTATGCGTGACTTACACATTTTAAATATATTATTATGCACGTGCAAAAGACTTTTTTTTTATAACTGGTGAGCGCGTGAAGAAGGCATTTTTTGAATCATGGCATGCTACGCACAACTTATATTTTTTAAATGTATTATTATGCGCATGCGAAAAAACCTTTTTTTATAATTAGTGAGTGCATGCATAAGACATTTTTTGAATCACTACGTGCTACACACGACTTACACGTTTTAAATGTATTATTATGCACGTGCGACATACCTTTTTTTATAACTGGAACTACATGTCTCTTAAGATATTTTGAACGTGTTTGAAAATAGATAAAATAATATTTAATAAACAACTGATTGAATCACATTATTGCTAGCTTATTGTGAGGTACTAATTAAAAAAAAACACTATACAAAAAGAATTAATTATTAAAAAACACTATTTATATGACGAAAATACTCTTGCATTATTTTGGATTGCTTTTGAACTTTTTTGTTTGAGGGGCATTTTTGTCCTAAAAATTTTGGTGAAGCCAGTGATCCCAAAAGTGCCTCTTGTCTTTAAATATAACTAGCCTTCATGCACGCGCTCAAGCGCGTGCAGAAGACATTTTTTGAATCATGACATACTACACGCGACTTACACGTTTTCAATGTATTTATATGCGTGAATTGACAAATGGAAAATCACATATTTACTTACA